GCCGCCGAGGGGGATCACAGGTGAGGTCCACCACAGACTCCCCCCTCGACGACAAGAACGTGCTCTCCGAACTGGTGTTTAGGCACACCAGGTTCAACCCAGCCGCCCATTCCAGCACCGCCGACCCCCTCGGCCCCGTCCTAGGTGACCCCCACGCCGAAGCATGGGCGTTGAAGTCCCCTAGGACGATGACCGGTCGGGAATCTTGCCTTACGACAAAGTCCCCGAGCCCTCCCAGGAATTCATCGAATTCCTGTCGGCTACGGCTGGGGGAGATATAGACCCCCACGTATTCCGTCCTCCGTCCCAAAAAGGAGCAGGAGGCAAACCGGGCGGCACTGCCATGTGATCGCAATGAAGTCGGCGGTGTCCCCCACCCAGAGAGGGTGGTCCTGCACCACGTATGGCTCCGCTGCGATCGACAACCCTACCCGGTGCTCCATCAGGGCTTGGACCAAGAGGTCTTGTGTCCTTTTGGAGCGGCCCAGGTTGACCTGGAGGATCATGAATGATCAATCTCCATGGCCCCCTCCGGACCTTCTCCCTCTGCTACGAGCGTAGCGGTGAAGGTGGCAATTGTTGAATCTATGTCCACCAATTGCATGGCCTCCACCGCAACGCTCACCCCCGCCCCGGGGTAGGGGCCCTGTGGGGCTCCCTCCCTTTCCCAACACAGACGACTCCGTGCCGCCTAAAGCCGCAGACGTGCATCCCTGCTCTTGCCCCGCGGAGGGAGAGCAGCCGATGGTGGCATGCGTCTGCCTCCGCCCCCGCCCAACGCTTTAACAAGGTGGCGCTCCAGCCAAGCGGAACGCCTCATCAAGTCGCCCCGGCTACTACCGTCCTTGGATTTCTGGGGAGGGGGTCGCGGATCCTCGCTCGCGATACCGAGGGTTACCGCGGCTCCCCCCACTTCGGCGGTGGACTGCTTTGCAACCACGGCCGTTGGAGGGGCGGCTTCACCACACGTCACCGCGAACATCTGCTGTGTGGTAATGCGGTCAACAGTGAGCTGGAGGCTTCCGTAAGAGGCCTTCAACTCCCTGTTTCTCACCGCGAACCTAGCATTTTCTGCCAATACTCGCGTCATATCCACCCCTTCAAGAGACCGCAGATGCAGTTCTTCGACTGCAAGTGCCGCCTCCCTGCTTACCGACTTTATATCGCAGACAATTGTACCTTTCAGGTTTTTAGATACTTCTGCTGATCGTGCCGCGATGCTAAGTCCGCCGTAGCCATTGCCCGGAATTCGGCCTTCAAGCCATCATCGGCCGCGGTGTTGGTTGGCTGATGACGCTTGGTCGCACCTTTTACTCAGGATCCCCCGCCCTGGAGGGACGACGCGCTATCGTCGTCCTCTATAGAGGTGGGGTCCTCCTATGC